AGTTAGGATTTGCTTTAGCCAAATAAAGTCTCACACAAAGTTTGTGAAGTTTGGATGTTCTAAGTATAGAAGGCTTTTATAACCCTGACCCTTACTGGGTCACTGAGTTTGGTTTGTAACTTGCTTTAATCGGTTGTGTTTGTTTTTTGCTCTAATTTTGTTCTTCTGTCTGGCTTCAGTAACCAAAAGACTTTCCTAGTATGTTTAATATAACATACTGTGAAATGTGCAAATTTCCTGTAAATGTTTGATCTAATTTCACATAATGATGCAGAATAATTTTGAGACTTGGAGGAGAAAATGAAAGAAGTTTGTCTCTCACGTCCGGGCACGATATGTATGATTTCCAGAGACCTGGCAGTTTAAGGCTTCTTGGGCTGGAATCTGCTCGTTTTTCCAGGTGTTAAAGTTTTAATACCCCTCAGCAGCTGCATGGTATAGTAGTTATATTAGTTACTGCAGATTGAGGGTCCAAATACCAGTCAGGGCATGCCTCTGGTCAGGGTCTCAGGACAGACCCCTAATGCTGCTCAGCCTGAGAGTATGACTGAGAGACACAACTAACAGAAAAGCACACAGCTGGGTTTGTTTCCCCCTCAGGCCGTTTGCTGTTCATCATCTCCACTCTCTCCCCCCACCTTCCTGTCTCCTGTCGCTATTAGATATAAAAAGAAAGACTTTATTTATCCCAAAAGTGGGAAAATTAACTGCTTTCCAGCAGCCAAAACATCAAAAACAAGTTAGCTTAATGAAATAAATACAAGATCACCACAGCAGGTAGCTCCACATGTATGATTTGGCAGATTTGTACAACAGACACCCTTTCTGACATAACACCGTAGGGGATTTGTGTCTCCTGCTGGTATTGAACCAGCAACGTTTACAGTATGGAGCCAGTAAATTAATAAGAAATACAATGAATACAGATGTTGTGCAAATGTTTAAGACAGTGTTGAGCTGCATGTGCAGTAAGAGGTCAGCATGGTCAGGATCCATTAATTATCCACATCCATTCACCACACCCACGCTCGTTAGGATGAGCCCCCCGTCAGCTGATGGAGGAATCCAAACAATTTGCAATGAAGCAATAATTCTGAATAAAATGCATCTGAATTATATAAAATCCAAGTTTTGTTCATTCAAAAAACGAATCATTAAAGAAAATGTGATTGGTATGTAATAAGATTACTTAAAATCAGAATTTTGGGTGCAAATATTTTTCTTGCTGGTAGAAATCAGATTTAAAGTCTGGAAAACGAAAAAATTCATGTCCATGTGCACATTTTTCCACAGGAATGAGTTTTGTGCGCACAGGAAAAGCGGTATCAGTTTAAATAATAATAAAGGGTTGTTTAAAAAGAATTTATAAAGTGCTTTGAAAAGCAGGTGAAAGTAGAAAGCTTACAGGCTAGATGAAAATGAAAAGGCTGAATAAAATAAAGTTAAAAAGAAAGAAAAACATGAAGATGCAAAATAGAAATGAAATAATTCAGATGAAGGAAAATGGCTAGATACAAAATCTATAAAAGACATGTGGTGGCATCACACAAAATCAAAGGGATCTTGCTCAAAAAATGAAGTATATTAAGTAGTCTTACTTTTATCTTTGAAGGAAGTGCGTGTTTTGTGGATTGACTGAAAGCGTCAATCCACAAAACACAACAAATATTTTATCAAATCTGCAAACAAATTACACATTTTTGAGAGTTTTCTGTTCAATGAATGCTAAATCAAAACTGAAAGAAGTGAAGGAATACCCCAAAAAGCTGAGAACGGCATCGCTGCAGCCTTCTAGAATTAATCAAAGTGTGTGGTATAGTAGCCCGCTGCACAGTGATTTGCAGAGCAGGTATTCAGCAGTACAGCACACTTGTCATGTGTTTGTAGTTGGCTTCAATGAGCACGAGCGTTCCTGCTGGTACAGTGACAGCGAGAGATCCTCAGCGCACGCTAATAACGCGTTTCTGTCAGCAGAGCTAAAACCTGTTTGAATTCAGGGCTCAAATAAAGGGTAACAAACCGTGCTCTGCCATCTCTGCATTCAGCAGTCAGTTCGAAATACAAACAGAAGCACCTGTCCATCAAAAAAAAAGTCAATTATTTATGGGAGAATCATCAGCTGACCTCAGAACAGCAGAGAAACTTCATGAATCTGTTATTTTTTGTTTCTTTCCACTGCAACACATCTCTGCTGTGCAGACCAGCTGAACTCGTCTAGCAGAACATGTGCTATCGTTGGCTGTTCAGTTTCTCAACACTCAAATTGCCATTAAATCAGAGTTTAGGAGATTTTAATTAGTTAGAGATTTTATTCATGCTGAGTGATTAAATCTAACTTGATATAACTGTTTGGAAAGTGTGACACAGCCGACCGTGACTTTGATCAGTTGCAGATGAGTCAGCCCATCAGAGAACAGCACTCAGACTCATTATTACTTGGCACTGAGAAGAGTAGACATGTGGCTCCTGTCAGCATGATTACTCACATCTAATAAAAAACACAGACACCTGTGCAGCCGACACAGCTGCATGAAAAGTAAAATTAAACTACACAGGGGACCATCGCTTCCATGACGTGCCCTCAGCGTCATGACTGACCCTAATGCTAGATTCGATAAGCCACAGACCCGAGCCCAGAATACTGCAACAGCTGCACACCTGCAAGCCACTCTGCAACCCTCCTCCACACCAGCTAATCCATTTCTTACCTTCGGGGAGATTTAACTCTGCTCTGCAGTTAATATGTATGGAAACGTGGTTTTTGCACAATTTAAGCTAACATAAGCTAGCATGAATCCCAAGAAGGAAACTTTTCCTGTAATTTTAATTTTTATTCTCATAAAATCCTGATTTAGAAAAATATTTTCTTTTGCAACATAAACTTTTAAACTTTTTATTCATATCAGCTTCAAACTTTATTACAGCAACTCTCTGAACTTCAAACTAGGAAAACAAATGATTGGATATTTGAAACTGAATTATTAACAGGTCTGTGCAGAGTGAACTTAAACACGGCATTAATACCTTTATTTTATTTTTGTTTAATTTTATATCTGTAACACATAAATCTATAATTATGTACATTGCATTATGAGCTTTTTTGAACTTTTAAAGTCATGCTAAAAACATGTAGGCTATGATCTCCACTGCAGTTAGAAAGCAAAATATTTTTGACTCGGCTGTTCTGAATTGAGGTTGATGACTTCGATAATGAGAATTACTCTGGATCGCACAAATGTATCATTTTTTTAAACCTTTGATGCTTTTCAATCAAAATAAACATCACAAAAATGAAAAAGATAATATTTTGATTTTTTTCAGATGAAGAAACTTTATTATTGCTGTCATGTTAGCTGACATGTTGCCTCCAATTTCATCAGTGTTTGTCTCGGCATAGTCTTGCCTTTTGTCTTATTCTGTCTCAACCAAAGCTTCTTTCCAAAGATTTTTGCTGGTGCAATAACTAGGCTTCCTACAAAGCTTTGTTTCATGTTTCAGACAGCATGAAACTAACAGCTGACAACATTCTGGGCCTGTATCTGTAAATGCTTTTGTTTGGAAGATATAACAGCAACAAATGAGACATTAAAAGGTCTTAAAAGTCTTAAAATAGTTTTTAAGATTATTTAATGTTTCTGATGCTGAGATAATACCAAAGATGAGTACCAAAAGCTGATAAATGACTTCATTCTAGTCTGTTTTAATTAAGATTGGATTTCTCAACCCTGACTTACGCCAAACCATATGATTTAAAACCTTCTGGACAAACAGTCTCTGTTAGCTGAATCACCTCAATTATTAATAAGAAACTGACAAAATAACAAGCCTGAGCTTGGCTGTTACTGGCATCTGTGATTGATAATGTGACTTCTAACCCGCTTTCATGTCCAGATTATTTGAAACTGTTATTAGCAAAATGTTCACATTAGTGTCGCCCACCCAACTGTCCCGATGCAGGTGGCACTTTTAATTGGCCGGGTGAGGCAGGGGTTGTTAGTCAAAAGGCTTCCTGTCAGGGTTAACTCTTTCATTTATTACCAAACTATTGAACTTTACTGTGCTGCTATAACTTCAGTTTTGTTTTTTTGATACAGAATTCAATTTTGGGATTGCTGTGATCCTCGTGTTCCCCGCCTTATCTAGGCTAATGTATTAGCTTAAATCGCTGGTTAATGCCTCCAGGTGACAAAAAGTAATATTAGAATTCAGTTGGAGTAAAATTAGAGACTACCTAAAGAAAGTAAGACCAATAGTTGCCCTTTAACCCCTCTGTGTTCATGTGTTGCTGGCTTATTGTGTTAATTTTTAAAAGCTGTGCAGAAGATGAAAACCTGCTGATAAAAGCTAACTGCTAAAAGCTAACAAGCTAAAACAGTCATGCTATGATTCTCTTTGGGTCTATCACTGCAAGACCTTAAGATTTTAGTCATTTTCGACATGAAAGAAGTTTATGTGCATCTTTGAAGTTATACAGTACAGCTGGCGATGGAGGTCAACAAACTGAGCAATCAACTGTCATCACAGCTAACTGAAAAAATGGAAAAAAAAAAAAAAGCTAAGGTTTTAACCTCAGGAGTTTTCCAATTAGAAAAACATGCTCGCCTATGTCTCCCATTTCTGCACCACTACTTTCCTGCCACAGCTGTGTGAGAGGTCTGCCTCACTATTAGGCTAAAGTCTGGCATAATTAGCATAAAAGAAGAGAAGGGTAAGGGCCGGTAATCCTTGTTTGAGGACGTACAGTGCACTCGAGCATGAAGCCGTGACAAAAACGACACTAATTAGGACAGAAAGAAGGATATAAATCCAGCTGTAAACCCGCTGTACCTCTCTGTGAGTTCATTTGAACACATCCAGGGCGGGTTTCTCTGTCTTTGTGGTCCTCGCTGAAAGTTAGTAACCTTTAGAAGTGGAGCGCTGCTCATGTAAAATTCAAACAGCCTTGGAGCATGCTAGCTCTGTCAGTTTGTGTTTGTATCCGCGGCGCCGTGAGCTCCTACCTGGGAGACGGGAGTCGTGGACATTTTGACACGTTGTTGAAACAGCACGCTCAGTATGCGGTTTTGTTGCTCCAAGTCAAACACACGGGTCCGCAGCTTCACACACTCCTCTTTGAGGTCCTGGAAACAAATACAAAATGGACAGATGACGGCGACTGACGGTGGCACTTCAGAGACATACACGTAAATCAGATGCTAATTTAGCAGCCACAGGGAACGACGGTGTATTCAACTAAAGATGCACATGATGGTGCTCGAAAACATGAGCAACCTGGAAAGGAGGACCTACAGAGGTGTGAATTAAGAGGGGGGCTAAGGTGGCGAAACCCCCATGATACCACATGAAGTATACTTATAAACTATAGTCAATTTCTCACAGCCGCTGTGACCATTCTTCACATAAACTTACAGCAAAACTCTTCATATGTTACTTAAATATCAGACTTTCTGTGTATAGCATTGTTGGTCATGACAGGGTACTTCTGCCAGGGTTGTTTACAGGATTTCGCCACAGAGTGGGTCCAGGAACGAGACCAGGGAAAGAGAAAATGAGAATATTTGATGATAAATGGTAAATGGTAAATGGCCTGTATTTGTATAGCGCTTTACTAGTCCCTAAGGACCCCAAAGCGCTTTACATATCCAGTCATAATAAACAGAGCATACAGCGTGCAGCCTGCCTGAGAATACCCTGGGCGTGGCTGCGTCTCTTTCTGACTCCACTGCGGGTGCTCAATCGAATCGTGTCCACTCAAGACAGTATTTCAGTGCCGCAGAGACCCAGAAACAGAGCTCAGGTTGTCATTGCTTAAAATAGTGCTGGTTCTGTTTTTTAAGGAGCCTGTGTAGAGCTGCACAGAGCAGGAATGGAGTACATTTTCAAAAAAGACTGCTTCTGAAATGGTCCTGGTGTAATTTACCGTATTTTTTGGACCACAAGGCTCACCGGTTTATAAGGTGCACTGTCAATGAACGGGTCTGTTTTCATACATAAGGCGCATTAAGCGAAACAAAACAGTCAGATAAGTCAAACTTTACTCAACTCATTCTTCTTGCTTCCTCCAATTCCGTATCATTCATTCTTTAATGTTGAATTCTCTCACAGATGCTCTATTCCCGTGTCGTTGCAGTATATTAATGACTAACCTCGTATTATTGATGGATTATCTCAGTTGTTCTCCTGACTGAACTTTTATCGAGTAGAAAAAAGTTAGCGTTCATCCTACAGCTTCACTGTGTTTATGTTATGCAAACATAAACACATAGCTGTGTCGCTAGCGATCACAGAGCACATAATTATATACCAGTTAGCCTAACTTCAGTAACACTACAAACGTCACTTCTGTTTAGTTTTCTCTCTTCATTTATGTTGGAAGTGATAGCAGAGCTGTACGTTTGAATTTTTCCAGAAATCTCTCAGTCAGAACATGGTATATCATGATTAGGTGGAAACTAGCGAGCTAACTTCCTGCTAACTTCTAACTCTAATAAATTTTGTTTTCATGGATGCCTGGATGTACAACTTAATTGTTACACCTGGTAAAGCAGTCACACTGATCATTTTATTAAAGATGAAAGAATTTAGATCGTTTTTAACTCTCAGTGATGCTGCAGTGTTTGTTTGACTTTGGGACCTGAAGCGGAGTTTGGTCTCGGATTACTCCGTGAGGCTCCTGACTACGGTAGCCGTAATGCTCCGACAATGTACAAACCTTTTGCGTGAGAAGAGCCTGGACCACCTGATTAGCCACCTGAAAGAGACGAGAAGGAACAATGTGTTTAAAAAAGTTTGGTCATTATTTTAAGAGTTGAACTTTGTGACTTTGAGATGCAAAGAGATTGTAAAACGACCGAGAATAAAGTTCAAAAATGAGGATTTAGAGGCGTGGACGGTGCCGTGAGGACAAACTGACATGGCGTTGCATCAGAGTCGGGCTCGTTGAAACCACACAGCTGTTGCCCGCGGTTACTGCATGTCTGACCACAGAAAATATACACATGGTTAATGTTGATGTCCTAACTTTTTCATTCTGTATTCTGTGTGAATTTCAGCAGGAAGAAGAAAAAGTTCAGCTCAGTTGTATGGATTGATTTTTTAAAAAAGAAGAAGAAGACTAATCTGAAACGCTTTCTTTCCTGCTTATTTTGATTTCTGAAGTGGAGGCATACAATATATCTTGGCACTGGAATAATAAGTATGTTTTGATTCTTTTGTATGTGGGCCACAAAATTATTTCCCTCCACCTCTTTCATCTTTCTATCAAAACGCCTTGCCTCAGCTCATTCAGATGATGACAGGAAACCATCTCAATGCCCCCCCCCCCCCCCCCCAAAAAAAAAAGAAAAAAAATCATCTGCATAATGAGACTGAAAAGCAGCAGAAGCGGTGGCGGTAGCAGAGAAATTAATCCCACAGCAGAAACTCTGAAATATCTGACCTCAGCCAGATTCTCATGGGCAGCAATCTCCATGGTACCAAGCCCATTAGCAAAGGCTGCTAAAAAACTAAAGTGGCACTGTCGTGGTGGCTGGAGAGAGATGCAGGAAAAGATGGAGAGACTTTCAAAGTGCTGTCAGAGGGAAGGAGTGCAGTTAGACAGCCTCGTGTTAGAGGTGAGAGTCCGTGCTCCTGAACGCCGAGACTCACTTCTTCATATCGCCAGGAGCTCTGCTGTCTGTCTACTTCAATTAAAGATCTGGGCATCCCTCTGTAGACTCCACCAGTGCTCATAATAAACAAAGTGTGTTTGTGCGTCTCCTGCTGTAGCTACAATCACAAGACTGTCGGAGTCCTGAGAAGTAGACAGCACTGTGTGGACATTTTAGTTTTTTGTTTGTTTGGTTTTTTTTGGGGGGGGGTAATTCATCTTACACTCCAAGAAATAATCCTCTCTACATTCATTTACCTTTTGGATGGTTGGAATTGGAAAGGTTGTTGATGTGAAAACAACATGTAAATTACCACAGTGAGCTGCATCCAGAGTATATACAGGGCATCCACAGCATTAGGACAAACTCAGGCCTCGGTCACACACACCTGTTCAGAAAAATGGTATCCCCTGATTGGTTGGAGAGTGGTTGCTGGGCATTGCTAGGTGAAATTGGTTGCAAACAGGTACGTGGTGCTGCGAGAAAAACTTCCTTGGAATTTCTTTGATCACTAGCAGGTTGCTGGGTTTAGCTGCAACAGTTTGGCTGGAAGATTGGCTAGGACCTTTCTCTCCCACAGTCAACACAATACCCGTCATAATCACAAACAGAGAGCAACAGAATTATCATAAATCCAGTAACTCCAAAAATATTAATAACCTCCGGCCTCTTCAAAAATATCAACATCCATCCAACTCTATTGTCAAAAATCCACCAGTCTCAATCAGTATGGCACTTTTAAATGTACGCTCTCTGTCGAACAAGTCTTTTATTATTAATGATTTAATTTTAGATAATAAACTTGACTGTTTATTTTTAACTGAAACATGGCTGGGTTCGGATGCACCAGTTGTTCTCACTGAGGCCTCCCCACCAAATTTTAATTTCTCTTTTTCTATTAGAAGTGGTAAGAGAGGTGGTGGGACTGCATCTTTAGCCAACAACACACTCACCACCAAACAAATTTTATTTGATCATTTTACCACTTTTGAATTCCATGCTATTGTTTTCAGCAGCCCTCCAGTTTTATCTGTCACAGTTTATAGACCACCTAAAGACAGCGCTGCTTTTATCAAGGAATTCTCAGAATTTTTAGCAAACATACATTCAAAATATAACATGATAATTTTAACCGGTGATTTTAACCTGCACATAGATAATCCTTCTGACCCTGCAACAAAAGAATTCTTAAACATTCTTCACTGTTTGGATTTTACCCAGCACGTCACGCAGCCGACTCACAACAGAGGACACACTCTGGACCTGGTCATCACCCATGGGCTGTCCACCAGCGTGTCCTCTGTTGTTGACTTGGCTGTCTCTGACCACTACTGTGTGTTTTTTAACATCACCGGTTTTATTCAGCGGGAGACCTCGGTGCGAACTGTGAGGAGGCGCTATCTAACCTCTGAAGTGGCTGCAAATTTTACCAGGGTTTTAGACGAATGCCCCCCTGTGATTTTACCTGCATCCTGCGATTTGATTTTTAGTTATTTCAACAGCAAACTGAAGAAAAGCCTTGACTCCGTTGCTCCACTCACCACCAAAAAGATTAACGTAAAACATGCATCACCCTGGAGAAACGAAGAAGTCAAAAAACTCAAAAGAAATTGCAGGGCAGCAGAAAGGAGATGGAGGAAAAATAAAAATACTATCAACCATCAAATATTTTGCGAGCAACTTAAAGTGTACAATAATACATTAAGGAAGTCAAGAAATTCATACTTCGCCAAAATAATCAGTATTAACAAAAATAATCCCAAGGTCCTCTTTTCCACCATAGATCATTTATTTAACCCTGATTTTAACAGCTCCCAAAGAAGCCCCACAGACTCGCTCTGTGAGCAGTTTGCAGACCACTTCAGGGGAAAGATCAGCGCCATCAGATCTGATATTTTATCTAATCGTGATATGATTGTAAACACATCTGAGGGCTCGATTGTACCTGAGGAGACACTGGACAGCTTTGTCCTGGTTAATGCTGAGAACTTTCAGAAGGTTTTCTCCACAGTGAGACCCACCACATGTCTTTTAGATCCAATTCCTTCTTCACTCCTTAAAACACTTTATGGATTTTTTGAGGCTGAGCTTTTGTGCATGATGAATTGCTCTCTTCAGTTGGGTGTCTTCCCTGCTGCCTTTAAAACGGCGGTGGTGAGGCCCCTTCTGAAGAAGAGCAATTTGGATTGTAATGATTTTAATAACTACAGACCTGTATCCAACTTACCATTTTTAAGTAAAGTCTTAGAAAAACTTGTTTTTACTCAGATTACTGATTTTCTCAATGATAGACAGATCCTGGAAATATTCCAGTCTGGATTTAGGGTGAACCACAGCACAGAGACGGCTCTCCTAAAGGTTTTAAATGATCTTAGATGTAACTGGGACTCCCAAAAGCTCTCAGTCCTGGTGCTACTGGATCTAAGCGCAGCCTTTGATACAGTAGACCACGCTATTCTTTTAAACAGACTGAAACACATGGTGGGCCTCTCTGGTGCATGCTTTCATTACCAGTCGCATTGATTACTGTAATGCCCTGCTCTCTGGTCTTCCTAAGAAGAATATTTCAACTTTACAACTCTTGCAAAACTCGGCAGCTCGTGTGCTGACGAAGACCAGAGGGCGGGCCCACATTACACCGGTTTTAGAATCGCTGCACTGGCTCCCCGTGTGTTTCAGGATCGATTTTAAAGTTCTTTTATTGGTTTTTAAATGTCTTAATGGTCTTGGGCCTTCTTATCTCTCAGATCTGCTTTTACCATACGAACCCTCGCGGACCCTGAGGTCCTCTGGTACTGGCCTTTTGATTGTCCCTAAAGTCAGGACACATACTCACGGAGAGGCAGCGTTTCAGTGGTATGGTCCTCGTCTGTGGAACAGCCTGCCGGAGGAGCTCAGGGCCGCAGAGAACGTACATGTTTTTAAGAACAGGCTCAAGACCCACCTTTTTAATTTAGCTTTTACTTAGCGTTTATTTATTTTATGCTTATTTATTCTATCCTGTTATTCTATTATTAATTTAGGATTTACCTAATATTTGTTTGATTTTATTCTTATTCATTTTTTAATCTTCTTATTCTATTTATATTTATATTGTATCCTGTTCTTATTTATTTTATCATCTTACCCTATATATATTGTATTGCGTCATATCTCCAGTGTTTCCTCGGAGGGCGCTCTCTGCACCGGGGCTGTTATTGACCGTGGCTGCTGGGTCTCTCGGGTCCTCTCAGCCTGGCTGGGGGGCTCCTTTGCCTCCCTCCTGCTGTGTGCCCAGCCTGGAGGCTGCGGTCTGTGACCGGCTCCCGGTGCAGACGGCTCCCTGTTATAGTGTTTCCTCACTTGGCTCATGCGAGCCCAGCCCAATTTTTACTCTTTAAGTGTGCGCGTGTGTGTATGTGTGTGTGGGTGGGGGGATATATGTGTATTGAGAGTGTGGGGAGTGAGTTGGAGGGTGGGGTGGGCTGCTTTTAACTATGTAAAGCACTTTGTGCTACATTTTCTCTGTATGAAAAGTGCTTTATAAATAAAGATTGATTGATTGATTGATTGAAGATGCTGACTTGTCTGCAAACACTGGATAGTCAGGCAGTGCTTGCAGATAAGCTGATTAACCTGCAGGTGACGCAGGGCAATCACAAGGAGGTTTTTCTTAACTTGCTTTCCACTAAGGGAGGCCCCTTTAAAGTTTACATATATCTAACTGAGTCCGAGATTGATGTCTTGGGTTTTTTGCAGTTTCTCTGAGCGTTACATTGTTCCGACCTTGGTGATAAATTAGTTGGGACGTTCAGTCCTAGGAAGACTGGCAGCTGTCCTGATGTTTTCCACTCATGAACAATCCTTCTCACTGGAGAATGATGGACTTCAAATTGTTTGGAAAGAACCTTATAACCCTTTACAGAACTGATTGGGCATCACTGCTGATGTCTGTCGTCCTCAGCATTCTGCTACCATACACCTACTTCTGCATTTTGGCTTGATTACTGTTCAATAAATGACTCTGTGTCATATGTCTTGTGCTTTTGTTCATCTCAGGTTGTTTTTATTTCATTTTTAGACCTGATAAGAATTACAGATGAGTTTCATTATGTCTTTTATGACTTTGTCTGTCTATGGACAGTCCAGTACAGTCTATGGATGCAGCCTGCTTATCAAGCTAGCCAGCATTAGATCTCGTAACTAAACGTGTAACGGTGTAAACTTCTGTTTTTTATGTGCAGTCTTTTTAGGGTTTTATGAGGACTGACTCACTGTAGGTTGGTACTGTATACCAGCTAAATTTTTCAGACCCTAAAAATGCCATTTACTGGAGAATGACCATTTTTGGTGGTACAAATCAGTGCAAATATAAGCCTTAATTATAAGCCTTATAAGCCTTAATTATTAATGAAAAATAAAAGTGTGATTTCATTGTAAATACATGCTGTATATCTTCTGCAGTGTGGGAGCACTCACCTCATCCAAACAGCGTTCGTACTGCTTCCTCTGGTTATCGTTTTCCATCGACAGAGCCGAGTTTTCTGCCTGCAGACACAAAACGCACGCATGCAAACTGCATTAATAATTTCTGAACGCACTCATATAAATAAGAAAATAAACAAAAATATGTAGGATAGAAAATGTGATTAATTATAGAACTATGAGAAACGTTAAAGGTCTTGATGCTGTTTTCTCTGGATGGAGGTGAGTTGTCTATCTAGACAGTACTCTCCCTGAAGCACTTGGATTTGTTGGTTTCACTGGAGAGAGATGGTCGTAAATGAACGATGCCTTAAATTTCAGGCATCCCAACTTAATCCTGCAGACCCTCACTGTGTCTGCGAGGCTGACCTGAGGTACCTCAGCTATAATTCAATTACTGACAGAGGTTCAGGCCCGACACCATTCTGGGAACTCAGCGGGCGACTTTCTACACAAGTGATTATTCTTGTAAATCTGAAAGGCCAGGCCACCTGAGCTGGCTTGTTTTCACTTAGTGTTGTGGGCAACTCCTCGGAACAACAAGTTCACAGAAGATCACAGAAATGGCTGATCACAGGAATGAACAGAGTTCAAAGAAGAACTCGCCCCACACAGATCAACACCACCTGTATCCCTGTGCAGCAGGCAGAGGTAAACAACACAGTATTTCAGCAGCTGAAATGATGCTGATTACTGGCTTCAGGCGTGAGGAAACGGTTTACTTGACTCTTAAAATGAGAACTTTGGAGATTTAAATGTGGGTTAGGTAGCTTTGTCATGTTTTAAACCCTCATTTTCTATTGAAGTCTAAACTGACTAACTTAATAAATAAGACATCCCCCGACTCTTTTGGAAGAGGACTGAGGTCACATTGACCTTTTGTCCTTCACATAGACTGTTAGAGGGATCTGTGACTTTCTGCTCCAAGTGCCTAAATTCCCCGTTTGGTTAAAGCATCTACAGGAAGCCACGCCGGCTAAAGTCAACTTAGAAATGAAGTCCACCCGTCAGACTCGCTGGTCACACCTGGTTTAAAGAACAAGATGGCGATGGACAAAACATCTTGAAGCTTCATAACCACTGAGTGGCATCTTTCATACTGTCTATGAATCCTAGCTAGCCAGCTCTAACTTAGCATCTGTCTGGCATTGGCTGCTGTGTCTTGTGCAGCTTGGCTGTGTCAGTGTGTGTCTTTGTCCTGTCTTCCTCCTCTCGCTCCTAACTGGTCACAGCAGTTGGCCACCCCTCCCTGAGCCTGGTTCATCCAGAGCTTTCTTCCTGTTAAAAGGGAGTTTTTCCTTCCCACTGTCCCCAAGTGCTTGCTCATAGAGGGTCATTTGATTGTTGGGGTTTGCTCTATCTTATTGAAGGTTTTTTTTTTAATATATAATGCAAAGCACCTTGAGATAAGATAGATAAGATAAGATACCTTTATTAGTCCCACGAGTGGGAAATTTCATGTCTGGGCAACTGGGCAACTGTTATTGTGATTTGGCACTATATAAATGAACTGAACTGGACTGAATTGTCATTATACTGATACTTGTGTAAAGTGTAGAAGTAAATTTAAATCTAATTTGATATACAAAGAGGTGTTTACAAAGGTTATAAAGCTAGTTATGTAGCTATTTGGTGGTTACGTGTTTTGATATTTACATGTTTACATGTTTGAATGTTTAGACATGCATGTTCAAACATGTAATAAGTATGTGTTATATCTACCTGGTTGTTTTCCCTGTTTTGATCTGAGTATAAGATTTCCTGGCTTCTGAGAGGCCAGTGAATTATTCATGGGGTGCGGCACACAGGAACTGTGGGTTGTTGTTGCTGTGTGCTGAGAGTAACGCGGCTGCTAAAAAGTTATCCGTCTCCATCTTGCTGTTCCTAATTATTCAGAGAGATTCCGAACCATCTAGTGAACCCTCACGTTACACTTGCATGAAGTATATCTGCTGGTATCGCAGTACATACAGTCCTATGCATGTCTTATAGTGTTTGCAAATACAAGCTGTGCGTTTGTGCGTGTGCAAGTTCTGGTACTGTACTTTGAGTCTTTCAGCCTGTTATGTTATGAGTTCACACTTGCTCTTGCAGTTGCATTACACCATCTTTACAAATGAGCCTGATGGATTAATGTGTCAATGTGTAGATTGCAAGTAAAAAAAAAAGTTTATAGGTGTCAATCAATCTGGCTTGAAATAAATTGTTTTTGCATCTGCGAAACATATTAAACCCCCACAAAGTGATCCTGCATGTACAGATAAATAGATAAATCACTTGCAAAGCTGTAAATGTTTGGCAGCGCGCTTACAGTCGGGCTCCCTCGTCCTTGTTTGTGCACCGTTAACTTGTTTGATCTGCAGAAACCATCACATCAATCAGTGTTTCAGACTTAACTGTCAACTTTCACTGAAAACTCAGACTTGGTGGAGGAGCTGAGCAGTTCAGCAGTTCCCCTCAGTTAGAAGAAAGTCCGTTCACTCTGTTTTTATTATTTATATTCTCACTTTTTGGAGGTTTTCAAAGCAAATATTTTACTTTCTGTGGCGGACTATGTGGAAGGTGCCCAAGTGTGCCATAATGACTGGAAAGTAGTTTGAACCTAAATTGAAAACTCTCTAATGTGCATCTCTCTCTCACTCTTCAGTTTGACATTAAAGTTTAATTACAATGTGGATAAAATAAAGGCAGCCACCATGAAGAAGCAACAGCGTGAAAGCCACAAAAACACACTCCGAATCATCCATTTAGGGTCATCAGAGTAGGCAGGAAAATTGATGCAATTTAAGGTGTTCTTTTATTTTAAAAAACCATCATTAATGACAAACTCGTTATACAGGCTTTGACCAGGTTATTACCAAGGAAAATTAACTTTCACTAAAATATCACTGCAAATCATGCATGGACTGATGCCGGAAATCACTAAACTCATGCTGGATGCAAAATTAGACACACATACTGTACAGTGCTATGAAAAAGTATCCACCAGCATCCTGACTTCTTATTCTTTTGCATATTTGTCACACTTACATGTTTCAGATCACCAAACAAATGTTTATGCCATGCAAAGATTACTTGACTTAATAAAGAAAGCAGTTTAATTTGTTAAAGGAAATAAATTATCCAAACTGTGTGAAAAAGTAATCGCCCCCCTTGTTGGCCTCTATTAGCTGGTTGGGGCACCCTTGGGAGCAAAAACTGTAATCAAGCATTTAATATAACTGGCAACAAGTCTTTCACATCACTGTGGAGGAATTTTTTGCCTGATCTTCTTTGCAGAATTGTTTTATTTCAGCCTCGACCTACATCTGAGGTTTTTCAAGCTCAATTCTTATTTACCTCCAGGGTTTGACTTGGCCACTCAAATTTTGGTTTCAGGCAGACTTCCTGTTTTGTTTCAGATGATTGTCCTGCCTCATAGGCTAAGAGCAGCTGAGCTTCAAGGCAGGAATTTATGGCTGGACGTTCTCCTTCAGAAGAATCATGAATTCAGTAAAAGGCAGAATTCATGGTTCCATCAATTACGGCAAGTCATCCTGAAGCAGCAAAGCAGCCGCAGACCATTACACTACCGCCACCATGTCTGACTGCTGGTATGAGGTTTGAGTCCCATTACAATCCAGATGTAATGGGACTCAAACCTTCCAAAAAGTTAAGCTTTTTCTTGTCAGTCCACAGAATATTTTCTGAAAGTCTTTGGGATCATCAGGATGGTTTTTCCCAAATGTGAGATGAGCCTTTGTGTTATTTATGGTCAGCAGTGATTTTTGTCTTGAACTCTCCCATGGATTCCATTTTTGCAGAGTCTCTTTCTTATTGTTGAATCATGAATTCTGACCTTAACTGAGACATGATAAACCTATGGTTCTTTAATGTTGTTCTGGGTTCTTTTGTGACCTTGACCTCCTGACTCGTTGATGTGCTCTTGGAATAATTTTAGTCAGCCAGTTACTCCTGTGGCCACTTCACCACCAGTCCAAGTTTTCTTCATTTGTAGATAATGGCTCCCACCGTAGTGCAACGGAATCCAACGACTAAGAAATGGTTTTATAACCCTTACCATACTGATAGATGTGTTGCTTTTTCAGATCTTTTTGCCTATTTCAATTTGTCAGACAGCTTCTGTTTAAGTCATTTCTTGATACAACAGGTTTAAAAAAAAATTAAAACTTTGAAAACTGTTAAATTTTAAAAAAGAAAGAAATGTATGATCAGTAACCCCATTAAAAAGAAGAATTTGTATCCCTGAAGCAGCAGCAGATTAAATTTCATGAGTATTTCATGGACTGCTGTGAGACTGTGTTGAACAGCCAACAGAACAACACAAGCAAAGCCGAGTGAATTCACTCTTTTTTTTTCTCTGTTTTTCTTCTGTGAGGCTTTTCAGTGGATATAAGCTCCATCAATAATGGCTGCCCGAGATCTCAGCAGATGGCGAGTCCTATGACCTATTCAGCAGGGAAGATGTAACGGGGGGTGGGGGGGTGCATACTGTACATTCACTGGAACACTGACTCCAAATGTTAACGACCCTGGCAGCCTTTTAATTATCACCTCCTGGATATGAATAACTCCTTTGTCTTCTGCAGTTTCTGTGCCCTTAGGACCGCGCTTCAACATAATAGAGCCTCTTTTGTTGTCCTATTCAAAGATGGACAGAGGCCTTACAAAACACGATGTGTGTGCTTGTTTTTCTTCTGCTTTGCTCACTGTTTAAAAAAAATGAAAGCACCATACAGACTTGGATGCTCTGAGCAACATATAATGGCTGTTAATTATCATTTGCAAGCAATTCAATTTACCCCTTAACATCCACCAGGTTACTGGCAAACCATGTAGGGGTAGGGTTATGCCTGCACATTGTCCACATGCTAAAAAAGCATAGTTTCAGAAACTAGAAGATTTATGTGTTAATTTAAAGTCTCGTACATGCCATTGGACAACAAGATTTCCTTCTGAATATGCGAAATAACTGAAAATGCCATACAAAAATGTGACCCTAAATCTAAATCTGAACAGGTAACGTGTAACCTAGTTAATGTAGGGTTCCCATGGGTCATTAAAAAGTCTTAAATTTTGAAATGAAAGGAAATTTTTTAAATAGGTTTTAAATTGGTTAAAAATATTGCTACTGACTATAATTTCTATATATTAGTAAATCCGTATCAAATAAATTTATTTTAGGGTGTAATTACATGGTCTGTAACACTAGGGGGTGCTATACTACTAAAATAGTTCTACTATTACACAATAACCCAGTCGCACTAGAGTAAAAATAGGATGGCAACCACCCTACGACAAGGAAAACTAGATGGTTGATAGTTCAGCACGCTCAAACTCATCATTCTATTACAAGGTGATAGCAAGTTTGCTGGGCTCCCACACTGCAGCAGATTTGTCACTATCGGGAAGAATCTGTGGTTCTGGCTGTAAGTAGTGATTTTATATTTAATGGTAATTTCTTTGGATGTGATTGGACAACAGATTTGCAAAAGATGAAAACAGATAAGTGACAGATAACTGACCAATTTTTCACAGTTAATAATTTATTATCACAAACAAATTGCATGTAATTGCCAGCCTGACAGAACGAACGCATCTTATTGCCATTCGGACTCACCAAAGTCACTGTGAAGATGGCGGCTGACTGTGACTGGTTGCAATACTGGTCTTGTCTTCAAAGCAGCCATTTCAGAGGCAATGAGATCGCAGCTTTGGTAATTCTGGTTGTGCTTCAATTTCCAACCACTGTTTCATCTTGTTTTTATCTGTGAAAACCGCTATTGGTAAAACTCTGGATTTTGTAAAGATCAACAAAACTATTATTTATAACACAAGAAAACCAACGATGCCACTTTTGTCTTTAACTTTATTTATCAGCAGTGCTCATACAAGGACTTAAAAAACTTCAACAATCACAGAGAAACTGAACTGTTTCCATTATTGTCCACAGGCTCTGTGGTGTCCCACATAATGACCCACCCAAACGGTTTACAACACCTAGTTTTAATTGTTTTCAATTAACTATGCACCACCCATCAAATTTAACTTCTTCAGCTCCAGCTGAATATATATAGCACATATATAAATGTGACTTACCTACCAAAATAAAAAAATGTAGCGCCATTATCAAATGGCTTTCCTAAAACAGGAAAATAAGATGAACTAATGCTAATTTTAGGGCCAGCAGCTGCTGGGTATGACAGAAACCCTGCTGACAATTACTGAAAATCCTAAATTCAAGTGACTTTTTCACATTACTTGTGTTTTCTGCCCAGAAGTCAGAAATCCAAAGAAATTAACTTCAGTGTCATGTGAATCTCGTGGTTGCTTTGTTTTATGTTCTATATAATTTAAAGGAGAAATGGATCTGGGTTCTTATGGCGTAAGGTCTTAAGAAGCATTGCTTTCGTTTTCTTTTAATAATGGTGCAGGAACTCTGTGTTAAGAGGCTGACTTGAATAACATAGACATTTAAAAACTATGTGTTTAATGCTCCCTGCTTCTGGGAGATTTGAGTTTTTCTTCTGATTTCTTTAATAATGTAAAGCACCCTAGGCTTCGGCTAACACTTTTACATTTCATCACCACATAATGTTGTCTGACACCTTGTGAATGGCATCTTGAAGCTATAACAGCACAATCTGCTTACCTGCTGTTGACCTCACTGTTTTTGAGAGTGGGAAAAACTAACACATAGTTTATATTCTTAACCGGTCACGGTGAAAGCATTAGGGGTGGCCTACAACCACATAATTTTGCAACCATTAACACCTACTCAATAACCCTTCCTACATAAAGATACAGCAGTCAGAGTTATGTTCATCCAATGCCACCTGTTTATTTCTAACCATCAAATGTAATATGTTTAATTAAACATATTTCTCAGTCTGACATGGTGAAAGTGAAAAGTTGTGGACGAAGCCTAAGAACTGGACCGTGCAATCCACTTTATTACCTCGAGCGCTCTGAGCCGCTCCAACAGGGGATTGCTGTCCTTTGAATTGTCCTCTAAACCGCCGTCGCCACCACCGGCCTCGGGCGAGGTGGACATCTCTGTTGTTGGTGTGGCAGATGTGGGACCCTCCAGACTGTCCTGTTGCTTCCACATTTCCTCCAGGAGTTTGTCCTGGAAAGCAGAGAGCATATCAAACATGCATGCCTTGGAGTCACAAAGAGATGAAAACTAAATGCTCCATATTCCATAAAGCTCCAGTTATAAGAGCAATAAATCTTGATGAGCTGCACACTGAGAGCTGCAGCCACTGCATAAATAAAGCTGCTCTGCTTCACTTCAAAGATTTATTAAACTTCTATTATTTATGCTAAAATGTGCCAGCTAGTGCTCTAGGCTACTGGATTATGTAGACATTAAAAAGAAGAGGCTCCAAAATGGAGTCTTGGGGAACTCCATACCATTTATCTACACTTAAATTAGACCCACTGTGCTTTTTCCTTTTTGATTGTCTCATATTACCTGTAACTGGGATGGATTTTCATATTAAACATGGCTAAGGTTTAAAATAATAAGGTCAAAGAATGTAGACGTAATCCCTGTGAGACAAAAGCTCAGACGGCACACTGCTCTAAACATTCAGTTTCACACATTTTTTTTCCAATCTTGGCTCTCTATGATGTCATAGAGATGAGATATCTCTATTATGGTCATTTAAGGCACACAGCTTTTGCTATGGGCACAGAAACTCCACCCACATATTGTTTGCGAGTGGCAGCCAATAAGAATAAAGTTGGCATAAAGGGGGAGGGGCTATAATGGATTGTCTGTACTCGTACACGTGTATTTTGGCACTTTTTCTGTGTGCTGTGGACTTTTGTCGACACATGAACGGCATTTTGGACACTGAAAACTGAGCTTTTCACAAACTCCTGCCACAGTGAAGATTTTCAAAGACTCAGTTTCTGCATTTAGACACGAACAAAGTCAGCATCAAAGGTGTGCACCTTTGGGATGCTAGTTTAGCTCAGTGGGTGAGCAGGTATGCCACATGACCACAGTTTGTGCCTTCCATCTCTCTCTCCACTTTCTTCACCACAAATGTGCCCCTAAAAAATAGTCTTCAAAAAAAAGGGCTTTTATCTCCTCTTTTCATGTCAGAATGTGTTATTGTATGTGGACTGGACTGGTCAACGTTTCTTCAAGGTTAGAGTTATATTACCTCCTGTTGCTTTGACATGCTCTTGACAACACTTAAGATGGTTTTTCTGTTTTACTATTTTATTATTATTATGGTATGAATCAGAATACTTTATCGATCCCAGAGAAAATTATGTAATGTAAGGATTATTCTAAACTGTGAATCATGCAAAGCTACTCTAGGAAAGTCAGGAATAAGAACATGTTAGTAGTAAACAGTCCCTATTCTTTAGATGGTATTAGAACAGATTTAGCAGTGAAATAAGTAGCACTTAGCCTTTTTCCCAGTCATGGATCAAGCAGTCTTAGACTAAATGAAAACTTTCAATTAAACTTCAACTGGGAAAAGTATTTAGTCTGAGATTAGTGATAATCCATGTCAGAGAAAATAATTCCCACACTTTCAGTGGATATAAGTTAAGACCTTAAAAAGAGCTGAGCTGCCTCTGTGATGTTCTCATCATTTTACTGATACTGAGTTACAGAGTAAATGGAGTTTACAACATAGAATATAAAAGTACTGTATGTAGATGTTTGGAGACAGTGGCAGGAAGCAGAGCTGAAGATGCTCAGACTTTCACTGGGATTGACCAGGATGGACAAGTTTGAAATAGATACATCAGAGAGACTCTTTGGTTTTGAGGATTTGGAAAGAAATTTAGAGAGTCAAAGCTGAGATGGTTTGTAGACGTGCAGAGGAGGGATAAAGGATATACTGAACAAAGGATGTTGAATATGGGTCTGACAGGGAGGAGGAAAAGAGGAAGACCTCAGAGGAGGTTCATGGATGTAGTGAAGGAGGGCATGCAGGGGATGCTGTGACACAAAAAGATCCTAGAAATACTGTGGTGACTACTAAAGTGAGCGCTGAGAGAAGAAGATAACATACAATACATGGAGTATATGTAGCAGTGTAGGACATCCTTTTCTTTTTCCCATCACTGTTTTGGTTGATACACACAGTTCAAGCAATCTAAGCTTCATGCATTTTGCACTCTAATGTGTTTTTTGGAGCATCACTCATAGATGATAAACTGCCTGCACATGAGGCTGGCCCTTAATACAATGATGCATCATCTTTCACTTTGCATTATTAGTATAAAACTGCAGAATACAAACATTAAAAAAAGCTTTGACTCAAACAGGAGAAGATGGATCGAAGTATGAAAAGGACAAGATGGATAACGCTGAGATTCCTAATTATGAGACTTGTTTGCATTTGCTATACGGTTCATTAGCTCCTGTGATTTGCACATTTAGCCACACCAACATTACTCATAAACAACATCAAAGCTGAAGATCTGGAGCATGTGTGACTCTGTGTTCCCACAACACAATAAAATTATTGCATTGTGGGGACTTGGATCTATCTGGAGACACAACGCAGACCCCCGCAAGCTAAACTATTGCATCATTATTGGTAGTACCATAAACACGATATTTTTTCATAAACATAAATATCTAAAAAGACTGTGTGGAAAAAGTATTTTAAATGTATTCATTGATCCCTAGTCATATGCAGTTGCATGGATGGATATTCCCATGCGTACAGCAGGTTTTAAAACTATGCATCATCCCAGCAAAGTGTCCATTATTATATATATATTTTTAATACTCCAGCAAGCACATGAAAATGAACCACATCAACCACCCACTTCTACACAAAGCATAAATGTATTATAAACTTGATTAAAAACAAAAAAGGAATTTTAAAGTGAGATCAATAGTGTATCTAAAAGTAAATCACCCCGTGTATTTCATCTATATAGTAAATGAAAAATATCATCTGTTAATTTATTTTCTTGTTAGAGTTCAAGACATTATTGCAAATAATGTTTGTAATTTGTCTGTTTCACATTATTTCAGATTTTTCTGAAACTTCCATACCCGAAAGAAAGAACTTGTGACTGAAAGTGTGTTGGTACCTTGTATGCTTTCATTAGGTCCAGTGGGTCCACCTTGGGCCCTTCCAGTGAGTCCTGGTTCTGTAGTAGCGTTCGCACCGTCTCCTCCATGCTGTGGTTAGGAAGAAAACAAACCTGTTAAAATATAATCTTCTTAATGAGAGATAAATTAATTGCAATTAAGTGTTGCAGGACATGTAAAAGGCTAATTATTATTGTGGATAATTTATATTTTAGAATACATTTTAACCATAGACATTTTATGGCACAGCTGCTGCTCCTCCACATCAATTTGAGCCAGCTGAAGTGGTTCAAGCGCTGCCCGGAACCCCCCAGCCCTCATCCTGGAGGAGACCCAGTGAAAACTAGAGAGATTATACCTCTATGGCTCTCAATTGACTTGGTTTCTTTCCAGAAGTGCTCAAGGAGGCTGCTGAACAGAGGGAGTAAGGTTATATCCCTGCTAGCAGCTCTGTGAAACTAATAACTTAAAATCTAATCTCAGTTTAATGGGAAATAGTTTTTATATCTTGTTCCCTATTACCATTTTCTATGTTATCCTGCTATCACTGGTTAGAATCAGGGAGCATTGGCCTCTGTGGGCAACTCAGTCTCTGCAGTGCTGTTAAAAAAAACCCTAACTTCTCTGAGATATACATGAGGTGCATTTTGGTGTCTGGGATACAGCTAGACTTTTCAGCCGCTGACACCAAATACCATTTGTTGTGGTGTTTTACATTTTTCACACATGATCGCCAAAAAAGGGCCTAAAGTTTCCCTTTCTCACATGTAGCACAGAGCAGGAAACGCTTCAGACTCTTCTCACAACTGGAAATACTGGACACGGGCACAGGCGGCAACATTATTGATGCCCACCTAAGCCTGCACCTTTCTCACAATGGGGACATGCGTAGAAAAATCCAAGACCCTGGTGAAAGGTTAGGTTTAAGCCTCAAAAATACTTGTTTAGGTTCAGGAAAACATGAAGGTTTAGTTTAAAATGCACAATTTTGCAACATTAACCTCTTCATGTTGAAAAATTGCACTACTCTGAATCAACTGCATTTACATGTGACAACAAGAATTCCTAACCAAGCATCCATTTCATCTAAGTCATTGAACCCGCTCCAGGCAGTGGATTAACCAATAAGACAACTGTTTAGTAACCAAAATTTTCTTAACACATCTCACAGAAACTTGAAGGAAAGTCAGAGACTGATCACTGGATTCATCATCTGGGTACCAGGAAAACTTTAAAAGAACCCAACTGGACCAAAGTGATGGGCCACCTCACTGACAGTAAATGGTAAATGGACTGGTTCTTATATAGTACTGTTAAATTTTACTGGAGTACTCTAAGCATTCACACCCATTCATACCAGCAGTGTTTTTCTGTCTTTTCTATGTGCTTTCTAGCTAATATTCACACAAGGCTTAGTGTCTTGCCCGAGTATACTTTGGCATTCAGACTGGAGCAGCTGTGGATCAAACAACCAATCTTAATCTCTGATTATTAGATGACCTGCTGTACCCCTTAACTCATAATGCCAATACAGCTCATAAAAACAATTTCATTAACACATTTCGGAGACAGACATACTGGAAAAATATAGTTGTTATTACTTTTTGTTCATTCATATATTAAAACTAACCTCAGACTAAGACTCCATCCTCTGTTTAAATTTTGATAATGGGGTTACACCTTAACATTTGGGTCACTGACCAAATTCTCCTTAATCTAAAAGTTAATGATAAGGCAGATAGCGAGTAGAGACATTAACATGTCTGCAATACAATGTAACTTTTCCAGGCTGCTGGACAAAGTAATGAAGTTCACTAATTGGAAGCAAAGGTGTAGAACAGGGAATATGAAGCTGTTACCAGATGATCTTTAATAGAACATCTCCACACTTTATAATTTATATGTTGGCTGCATGAGAATTTGACATAAGTTGCATAAGCTGCCACTGAGAGGACAGTTTTCCACAACTAATAACAAGACATAATTTTTTAGGTCCTCTACAATATAACATGATGTTAACTTCAAAAAACACAAAAAAAAGAGAGTATGTTATTAGGGCATTGCTACACAGTTGTAAACACAATTAGTCATTAGGTTTTTCCACTTAGCATTAGCTACTAACTTTCCATTGCAAAGCTAGTGTCCAATTATGGTTCCATCAATCTTGAAAAAACAAAACAAAACACAAGATTGTGCTACAATATAGATTTTCTGCATAATGGATTTTGTTTCCCCCTGTTAATTAAGGTAGATATCCAGCACTTGCATTAGCTACTCTCTCAAATGTCTGCTAATTCCTCTTAAAAAAAAAAAACCCTACTATATACAGTTGTTTCCTGATTAAAAAATAAATGTCAGATAGCATGTCTTTTGGATTAGTTAATTTTCTTTCCACTTGTTTTTTCTCTTGTTATTTGCTACAGTAACTTTATCTAGCAACACCTCAGTGGTACCCTCTTATACAAATACAGTCCTGTCCATCTAAAAATGAAAAACTAAAGCATACTCTAAAGAGTTGGTGTATTAGCAAGCAGCAATAGCTTTGGCTACTGACTTCCTGGTCCATCTTGTCCTATCAGTCATCAGTACTATCCACAGTCAAACAAAGTAAAAAAAAAAAAAGGGGGCACTTGAAGGAATCATTTGTCCTAATTAGCACATTTTGTTTTAAGTCTGTTTTTCTAGCCAAGATGAGCATCCGAGCTAATATGACACGTGAGCAAAGAGGCTAATGCTAGCGAACACTAATCAAATTCAAATTCAAATTCAAATTTTATTTGTCACGTACACAGTCATACACAGTACGATATGTAGTGAAATGCTTGGACAACTGCTCGTGACCTAAAGAAAACAAAAAAGGAAAAGGCTATGAATAAGATAGGAAATAAATATGAAAAATTAAAAAGGGTAAATTTAACTAGGAAGGAATAAAATATAAATTAAGGTTAAAAATGAAATAACTGTACAACACAAATTAGAATGAAGGGTAAATTTAACTGGGAGAATAAGATAAAATATATAAATTAAAGTTGAAAATAAAATAACTGTACAACAAAATACACAATATAGAACTATATAAGAATGTATGAAGAAATATAAATAAATATATACACAATAACAGCAGCGTGATTAATCCCTAGCTAAAGCCTTGTTCTACTCTCTACCTCCACTTTGTCTTCCTCTCAGTAACAGAAGGAGCTACCTAGCACCAGCCTAAGACAATAACACCCATCTGTTAGGATAGACCTTGATGACTAACCCAGTAGGAGCCTTGACTATCAAGCTCCACACGATTCTACATAGAGCTAATATGGCGCTGACCAAAAGGCTGAGGCTTCAGAAACAGGAATCTACATACCAATGGGTAAAATCTTTTACATTATGTTTTTTATTTTAGATGAAGTGACATATCTTATCTTCTATCTTATCTTCTATCTGGTGGTGTAGCTGTTTTACAAAACTCACTAGTTTGGGGAAAACAAAGGTTCTTAAAGAGCTTTTTGGCTGGTAGCAGCTGACTCATGTGAATCATGAGAGTATCCACAGGCAGGACAAATTAACAATCAATTACTGATTTTCTTTAATGTTTGATTTTATTTCAAGCCATCCATAAAAGCGCTGCTGACATTTCTTCAAAGGGCTTCAGCTATATTTGTGTAGCTTTTGACTGTTATTTTTGTAATTATTTTCCCCTGGAGCTATGTATGCTTGATGGACGCTGACCATGCCTCCGTAATGTCGTACGCAGTGACATTTTGCCCTGTCACTTCCAGGCCAGCCTTTCCCTCTGTTAGATGTGTGCGGCACAGCCATTAGCGCCGGCTGCCGACTGTGAGCACTTCATTGGCATTGCTCTCTTCAGTCACTGCCACTGACCTGAAACAAGCTCAGCTAAAATGAAAACAGCGGGTGGGATGGTGGTGGGAGGGGATGATACTGAATTCGAGCAATCTTTGAGTTTAAAGCCCAGAAAAATGCATTTTAATCTGGATACATGCGGTCTGAGAGGCCAGATGTAAAATGCAGATTCCACTGTATGTTGCTCAACAGCTTCAGCAGACCATCAGTGCTGTAAAGTGTTGGGGGTTAAAATCCTGCCGGTACTACCCACACTGCACTTGTGGTGCTTTAAGTGAAGCACTTTGGATCTTACTGCATCCACCAAATGGAAAATTCAATGAAACATTAAATTCATGAACAACCACACGATGAATGCTCTCTGCAAAATCGACCGTGCTATGAAGCTAAACGCTGCAGTTTGAATGAGTTTGTATAATGACACATGATTATTCTTTTAAAACAAATGGAGTGCTTTTGCTAGGACATCTTATATATATGTACGGTAGTGACTTCCTGGTCATACACGAGTACATTCTGAGGAAGAAATTATTTTTTTACTTTGACATTTTGACAATTATAGATAGTCAGCTAATTCTTTTCACAAAGATATACTGATGTCCTTTGACTATGATTAAACTTAAAGTTCATATTTAAGGAGAAATAAAGTTCAGATCATGTTTCCTAGGGGCTTGTCGATTGGGAAAGACTGGGACTGTTGTGGAGGGTCACACAAATAAGCTAAACTCAGCCTTCCACAACAGTCCCAGCCTGTCATGTGACCACTTAGGAAAATTAATAATCTTCCTGAAACTTGGCTTGTGGACTTGTGTATAAAAGATGGATGAAGATGTCATCCTTTGGTGGTTTTGGACTCGGTATGCTGTCCTGTCAACATGTTAGTTTTTATCTTTCTTAATGGAACTTTTTATAACTGTAATGAGACACTTTTGTGTTATATATTTACATTTTTTATGTGTATTTATTTGAGTTTATTTGAGCTTTTCTTTACTTTTAAGATATTTTCTTAGTGTTTGTGTTTACATCTTTAGTCGCTTTAACACAGGAATTTCCCAAATTTATCTTATCTTCCATTGATTTTCTATGACTTTTCCATTTCATGGAACTGGCGCCTTTCCCAGCTGTCATAGGGCAAGAGGTTGCCAGTCTGTCACTGGCTTGTCAAGGCTCCAGTATTTTCTGTTTTGGTTTATCTTATATAATTAAAAGTGACATAAAATTATACTGGTGAC